ACCTGCTTACAAATCTGGAATTCTTCTGAAATATGTCACCTGAGCCCCCAGGCTGCTGAGTGGGCATTCACAGCCACCAGCTGTGACCACTGGGGCTCCAGACCCACAACCAGCAGCGAAAAGAGGGGCCTGGTGTGGCACTTCCCACCTTTGGCTGTGGCTGCAGCTGCCTGCAGGTTGCTGACCCGGCTTTGTTCCTCTGGAGAGAGCTGCAGGCCCTAAGCAGTGTCTGAAGCCCCCGGAGCCACGGGTACAGTGGAGGCTCAGACTGTTTCTTTATTACCACATGAACGAACCCAGCCTGCTTGGTCTCCCATAATCATCCCCAGGTCCCAGCCATGACACCAGTGGCACCAGCAGTGCGTGCTGTGGTGACATGTACCAACCCCACAGCCGTGAGGAAATTCCTCCTTCAGGGCTGAAAATGTTGCGTTCCTTCCTAAAAACATGATGGTTAAAGTTCAACATGTGTGCGATGCCCAGCTGTCCCTTGCCATGCAGGCATGCACAGCACAGGCATGCTTCGGCTTTGTTTGAAACAAGAAAATGCACAATGTGGTCATTTTCTCTCTCCCTGGGACACTTTGAATGCAGCCTGCATGTATAGTACAGATGTGTGAACTCACTGTTCTGAACTTCCACAGCTGAAACGAGAGTCTAGACACCTTATTACTATCTAAAGAGGCACTTATTCGTGCAGGTCAAATTGATTTGAAGTGTCCACTCCTCATTTGCAAGGCATTATTTCTGAAGGGATAGTTTGGGTTATTTTTGTGTGCTGTGTTAATTTCACACGGATTCGCTACTGAGTAGGTAACTTCAGGGTTTGTTGCTGCAAACCTGCTCAGTGCTGGGAGCAGCAGCTGGGAAGTCAGCACAGAATCCTCGTCCCCTTAGCAAGGATTAATGCTTTTGTGTAACACCCGGCTTCCGCTTACAGAAGCCTGTATGTAATGAGATGGTGGAACCTTTTCTAAAACCTTGTTTCTGATGGATTGCGACTGGGGTTTTGTCATAAGACCTCAGCAGGCATTGTTAGTAATTAGTATCTTTATATATAATCCTTAATGATTTCCATATACTGTTGTAGAAACTGTGTGTTGGAGGCTGGTGAGTAATCCGTGTTATTGAAGATGCATATGCACTATAATTACACTGTTCTCTCTAATGCTGCAGGCAGAAAAACATATCAGGTAATGACATATGCGGATCCTGGTTCCAGTTTGAAAATGAAGAGTGCACCATCAGCCTGTTATTTATGATACTTGAAACTGGTTTTCCAAAGTGTTAAATGTGCTGGTGACTTCCTCCTTTTGAAGATCTAATACTCTTATCTTTGTTAACTATATCTTTTGGATGCTGGGTGTTCCTGCCAAAGAAGACATTTCAGAAAAGTTGTACTGGATGCTAAAAGTCAGAATTTCTGAAATCTAAATGACCAAGAAGGCTTGTAAAAGTTGTCCTTGCTTCAGCTCAACGTATCTTGACATAACCCTAAGGAGAAAAAGAGATTCTCATTCATTTAATTTGTGTAGTTTCAAAGGATGAAAGATATCAATAAGTAATATTTCAAAGTCACACAGTTTTTCTTACTGGCCTGATTTTTGGCTAAAAGCAAGAAGCTATCTGATTGAATTTTGAACTTTTTTAATAAAGTGGGAGGATATGAGAGTGGTGACCGCAATGCATTTGGTTCTGGGAACACATTCCCCAGAATGCTGATAATAAAAAAAATGAGAAGTCATGGAGATGAGCAATGGAAAAAAATAAACCAGAACAAACCAACCCAAAGTGGAAGAATTAAAGGGGAAAAAAAAGGTAAAGTTTAAAATAGCCAAATATATAACATCTAGATAATGACAATTTTGGTTCTAATTCAAGAAAGCACTTAAAGTTACTTAAGTGTTGCACTGAATGAGAATGCACTCCTGAGTTGAAAAGCAAAGGAACTGGTAGCAGTTTAAGTGTCTAGCATCCTGTCCCTGAGGTGGGGAGAGAATAACTTGGGGACATGTAAATATCGAAATCTACATTTCATCTTTGTAGAATAAGATTTTTGCTGTTTCAAGTGAAACATTTCTTTCTTGGGACTGTCTAAGGTAACAGAATATGATAGTACTAAACATTTTCTTGGGAATAATTCTGACCTAGCAGGGAAATCAATTTATTGACCCCAGAGATTTCCCTGTGTTGTTTGCTCAATTGGAACACTAAAAAAATAAAACTGGGAAAGCAAACTGGCATTTGCAGAAATGTGAACTCACTGCTATTTCAGTGTTAATTTTCACTAATGATTTTTGAAGGCTGTTGGGTGAGAACCCTCCCTCTTCCCTTCCCCCTTCCAATTGCCCTTAATATATTATTATCCAATTTAGCTCCCCTGTCAAGGGAATCTTTTGCTCTCTGATCTCTGCTGTAAAAGGAATGAAAAAGCACAAGTAAGCTGACAAAGTCTAAAGGACCAAACTACACTAGGTTCATGCATAATGTAGTCATCACATCTTCTTTTAATATTACTGAGTTCATATGATATTCAATGCTCACACTCAGAAGAGATAGAGACATATCTATTCCTTACTTATGGATATTATTTCTATGTTAATGAATTCTCTTTCCATCAACAGATAAAAACTCGGGAGATGGAGAATTCCTCTCAAGCTCTCTTGATTCTAAAACATTTTATGTAATTACCAATATATTTAGTATTTAGTTTTCTCAGAATGGAAATTTTAACATAGCTCTTGCATACTGTATTATAATACTCTTTAAAACTTCAACTTCCACATGCAAATGTAAGCTAAGTAGCATTCTGGATTAACAATTAAAAAAAAAAAAGACAAGTGAAAATAAATTTAATTACAAAGCCAATTCACTTCAATAGCATAAAAAATTGATCTTATGTAACTTTAAAATGTACATCTACTGCACTAAGTCCCAAGGTGGTACAGTACTGGTAAGTATGAAGTAGGCTTATTTCAGCCATGAAGGAACAGGCCATGCAAACTTCCTAAAGCACTTACTGCTATAAGTAATATGAAGTGTTTTCTGGAATACCACTGGAAGTGTTTCCTTTGGATAGATGCATTTATAAACAATTAACAGTGGGGAGTCTGCAAAGAGATTCCTTCTGTTCCTTTAAAAGTGAAGTGGCTGTGAAGGAAGGGTAGTGATCATATATATATAAAACCAACAAAAAAACTGAACTAAGAGCAGTGAAGGGGAAAAATGCTTCTGTTCCTCACTTCAGTTAAAGTCCATGTTGAGAGGAACATAGCTACTCTTTGTTTGCCATTGCCGACTGCCACGCTATCAGACTGTGATTTCTTTTTAATCAGCATCATTTAAAAGGAAACAAATCACCATGTACGAGCTAATTCAGTTTGATGAGAAACCCAGGATGACAGAAGGGGATGGAAGCGTTACAGAAGGATGTACTTCTGAGTGACAATTAAGTTTAGTGCTCAGATTAGCCAAAAGCAGCCTAGTCATCAGCTGATGCACTGCAAAGCAAGAAGACTGAAAACATTAAACAGCAATTTGCTTCTATGGAAAAATAAGCTGCAAGTGGCTCCAGCCTTGTTTTTAAATACCCAAATGGAATTGTGCAGATAATAAGGGGATGTGCAAAGACTGGAAAAACTGTGGAGGTTCTTTGCTCAGCTGTGGGTGGGTTGGTGTGAGCGAGGAAGAAACTACGAAATAAAATTTTAAAAAGATGATACTTAATGCATAAGTCTCGGCCAGTAACTCCTTGTTCTGAAAAGTACAAATTAGTGCTTTTCCTTCCATCTAGCTTTGCTAGAAATCCCTAATTTGATGTATTGAAATTGACACAGAAATTATGAGGTGGCTCAGAATGGGGCGAAATCCTCCCACATGATGCAATATGCTCCAGGCTCAGCGGTGACTCTCTCAGAAGCCAGGAAAAAAAATATCTGAGTGCTTGTGTGTGAGAGGATTTGCTCTAAAGGGGGATTCTGTGCTGTAACACTTCTGTACGAACCTGATGTTGAGAAATGTAGCAGCCAGCTCTAACCCATACCACCAGTTAGTGCTTTTCAGCATGAGGAAACACGAGTGGGAGCTGTGCACTCCAGCTGCGCTGCCAGGAAGGAGCTGGAGATGCCTGTTTCCACACCCTGGGGATTGTCACTCCAAAAACTCTCAGAGATCGATCACAGGCACTTCATCTTTGAAGGCTTTTGAGAACAGGTCAGACAAATGTGCCACAGATGGCCCTTTTGAGATGGGGTAGATTAGATGACCTCTCAAATTTCTTTTCACCCTGTTTTCTGTGGCTCTTCAATCGATCTTTTGAGGAATAGCTGGTGCCAGTTTCAAATCCTAAATAGCCTAGAATGAATGAATCTTCTTGATAAAATGTTATTCCTCAGTCCTGCTCCATGTCTTCCAGCCTTTTCTGTGAACAGGGTGTATTACCAGTTTGGCAGGCAAAGCACAGGGACCAGAGAGACAGCTGGTGAAGACAACTATCTTGTGGGTGCAACTTCTTAGGGAAACTGATATGGGGCAATAGAGTGGATTTGGTCTGAAGCACTGCAAAGTGAGGGGATTAACTCTTCCCTTCTCACTAGCTGCAATCCGCTTTCCAAGCACACATTAGAAGACTGGGATTTGGAAGGAAGGTGGACAGAATTTGGGACTCTTTTCTCACACCCACTCAGCACAAGAGTTATCTTGATCAGAGGAAAAGGACCAGTCACCCGTGATATCGCACAATCCCTTTTTATGAAAGCAAATGCGGCAATTTTATGAACTTTCTCTGCAGGCTCTCTTGGAAGCCCACAAAGTGTTCCCCAGGGGAAGGCTTGCTGGAAGAGATGGTTTAGTCCTGGGGCGTGCATAAATGCACATGCAGGTTTGGACTGCAGTGCTTATGCACTGCCTCTCCCCACCTGGTGAGGCAATCCATGGTCTTGGTAGGGTCCAGGTGGAGAAATAAGGGCTAGATAAACATGCCAGATGTGCTTGGAAGGAGTATTTGTTCATGGAAGGGGTAGGTGAAAAGATTGAGCTCTGGGACCGCACTTCCAAGGGAAGGTGGCATGTAGCGGCATAAGCCGAGAGTCCAGCGAGTAGCAGACACCAGTGGAGCGAAGTGGTGTGGCAAAGCTGCAGGAAAAACAGCAAAGAAGTTCTTATACAACCATGATGTAGCCAAATGTAGTCTAAGAAATGTTGCGTCTGGGTGTGAACAGAGTAAAAGCTGCCCAGAGATATGCCAGTTGGCTTGGCTGTGACAAGCTGCTTGTAGTGAATTCAGATGGCTTCATAACCAGCATCTGGGTTACACTGCCCATGTATTTTTAAGCATTAAAAAAACTACTTATAATTTACAGAAACAATCTCCTATTTTGTCAGTAATGCTTCCTCAATATTACTCATTACTCTGTGCCATGTTGAGTTCCTAGCAATTATCCTGGAGCATCAACCAAGGCACTCAACCCATCTCACTGAATAATCTCATTACTGTTTTATTTTTCTTTTGGTTCTCCAGCATGTCCCAAAAGATAGGATGTGCTGTTTTTACAACTACCGTATGCATCTGAATTAGATATCAGAACCATGTGTCTTATTTCTCACTGTAGTCAATAGAAAGGGAGTGCCCATTCCACAGCAGAATACAGAAAAGGGACTTGGCTGTGGCAGGCACCCCAAAGGAACTGCCTCATCCCCTATTGCAAGCAGTGGTGGACAGGTGGAGTGAAATGATGATTAGGCTTTAGGGAAAACTGTGGCCCTCTGACTGGAAAAGCAAAACTGCTGTTCTGGAAGGAAGATGGTGTAGAGCAGGAGCAACTTGAGGACTTGCCTAGAGCAGAGCAGAATGCAAACAGCTCAAGTAAAGTTACTGGGCATAAATAAAAGCCTTTAAACTCCAGTGTGTATGCCTTTGTTTGGGGTAAAGTACTCTTAGGTTAATGTAGTTTGAAGGTTGCCTTACTCCCAGATGAGAAGCACCTACATGGTGGTTTAACAGGCTTCGATATATGCTCATTAACTTTACACTCTTAGTTGGCTCTTCATAAATTTCTGATGTATTGACTCTGTTGGGAGTTCTGTTGCGTTTCTTTTAGTTCTTTGTTGTAGCTTTACTGGAAAACAACAATCTCTGTGATTTCCTAGTGAAAAAGTGAAAAGCCACCCTCAACCCCATTCTAAAAAACAAATAAACAAACAAGAAACCCCCCACAAGCAAAAACAAACAAACAAAAAACCACCCCAAAATAGATTTTTTTTTTTAAGGCAGAAAAGTTAGCAATAGCAGCAGAGACAGCTGTTCACTGGGGACCCAGTGTACCTGTCACAGGAAACGCTGATAGCACCAAAAGAGTGAGGCAGGGTCAGTTGCTAGAATGTGATTTGTATGAAAATACATTGTGTAATTTAAAGGTGCAGTTTTGACGATCTTTATTATTACTTTATGGGGTCTTACATAAAAAGTTGAACTTAGTACTGTGCTAGTAATATTCATGAAATGCTGTTATGAAATGTGATAAAAGTTTATAGGGAAGTCATTACTGTAACCAGGAAGCACTGCCTCTTCCCAAATACCACCGGTGGGAAGGTAATCTCCCTGCATCAGATGAGTCAAGTGACTTCAGGGAGCTGATGCCAACCCAGATACAGCCGTGCTCGCCACCTGAACACTTGAGACTGCGCGGGTCTGGGAGAAATAAAGCAATGGCTTTACCAGGACCCATCAGGAAGTGTCTTCTGCCCCTCTCCCCGGTGGTTGCAGAACAGCGCCGTTGGTGCTGCAGGGAGATGGGGATGCAGAGCCCCGGCCTGGGCAGGGGGGGCTCAGCCGCCCTGAAGCCGGTGTCGGTAATTATTAGCTGCTAATGGCGAGAAAAACCATTACATTACACAATAGGCTTTCCTTTCACACCGCTAATTGTGTGATGAACTTACTTTGGCAGTAAATTGTCGCATCTGCTGTGTAGAGAGATTACACTTAGGGAAATAAAATAAATGCAGTTGCCGTTCCTTTATCCCTGCATGATTGAAGCACTGAAAAAAAAGAAAAAAAAAAAACTTGGCAGATGGAACATAGTATTTGTTAGACAAGGCTTTAGGGGGAGGTGATAACGTTTTTTTAGACAACTGATATAGTAGGAAAACAGGCGAGCTTTCACAAGACCTCTTCAATTTGTACTTTCTGCTCTGATTGCACTTACGGGAGAAGCAACACCAAAGGCCCCAATCGAGGTACATTTTTTGGTGTCAGTGCTAGCTGGAGATTTTTTCTGCCCATGCGCTTCCATTTGCTCCTACTTCAGTAGCTTGATCCCCCCTTGTCCTGATCCTTCAGCCGTGACGAGGCAGCTGTCTGGATCTAGAAATAAATAGGCTGGCAGAGCGGAATGTGGTGTCAGTGATGGGTTGAGCTGCTGCTCACTTTTTCACCGGTGTTTGAGGTGAACTCATTGTCACCCGGGTCGTGGAACCGATCCCGCTGAAATACTACTCTGGCAGCAAAATCAACAAATAAAGAAACGCGGTGTTTGGAATAAAAAGATGGATAGTGTGGAATAGAAGAATTGATAGTGTTAAGTTTTTTCTTCCAGAGAGGGAGGCAACTTTCAGACACTAAGGGACATGAGGGCCTGTGGGGAAAAACGTGTCACCAAGGTAGAATTACTGTGGACACTGTGAGTTTTTGTTCCTGTTTCTAGCCTGTAGCTAGTAATTATTAAATGACTGCTAGCTCTTTCATCTGCTCTGTCCTGAAATGTTCTAGAATTTAACACCCCTAGTCATTTAATCAGTGAAACAGTATTTGGAAAGCAGAACAATGCTTTTTGAATGCATTGCAATATGATTTTTATTGTTTTTCTGTCTTAAGTCTGTCACTGGTCTTCAGCTCTTTTAAATACTAGTTCTCATGATTACCTGCTTCTACATGTTAATTCTAAATAACAGTGCCCTAGCAAGTATTCTGTAAAATTATTCTGGGCTCCAGAAAATGTTCGTTCTTTTCCTTCACTTCTAGAAACTGTTCTGTACTTATTAATTATTTACACTGCAAGATGGATGACACTTTAACAGACCAAAATCTGTTAAAAGGCAGCAGAAAATTTTGTTTCATGTGTCCTTCAGTGCATTAGGAATAAAAGGGAAGGTAAGAAGGAGTAAATTTTGTAGAGAGATATTTATTTATTATTTTGTTGTTCTAAGTAATCTGTACACAGAAATTGGATATTTATGTCTTTATTTAGCTACAAAATGAAGAAGATAATGTTACAATGGTACTTGTTGCATCTTTGGAGATACATTTCTATGGTAATGATGTATCATGTCATAAAGAAAAGAGACAACACAAATAAAATTATACTTCTATTTTTTTAAAATAAATATAAAAGTAAAGGCTGTTTTGGATCTGTATTGCCCTGTTCAAACCAAGCCTTATAATCCTCAATCCAGAATTTCAGTGAACGGAAATGGAAATTTTGACTGAGACATGGACAACAGTATTACCAAAACATTGTTCCTAACGATCCAGAACAGTATTTCTAAAACTTTCAGTAGTATTTTCCTGTGAGCCTACAGTTCCATTGTCTCTATTCAATAGGGGAATTTGCTTTTTCTGGTGCTTAGTCTGATGCTGTCTCTGATATGTGCAGGCTGATTGTCAAAAAATCACAGCGGTCTTTGGGGTGCCTTAGCAATAATCACGAATTGCTTGAGAGGAACGACAAATCTTTTATTTAAATGTCCTCTAGCAAGAGTCCTACTTTCAAACATATGTCTATGTCATGTCAGCCTCTCCTTTCAATACCAACTGCCTGTTTATAAGTCAGGTCCGTAACACTGGGTTTGTGTTGCCCAAAGTCATATTTACACAATGCCTTTGTCAGTTTGATTGAGACAAATGCAGAAAGTGACAGATGGGTTAATGGTCCTACCACAGTGTCATCACATCACTTCAGGAAATGACATCAACATGCAATCATGGTGTGATGTGCTATTACAGTTCATTTGTCTTGAGAACAATTCTGGAGAATCAATGAATGTCCCTTGGTTCACAATCAGCCATAAAACTGCACATCCTGCTCCTCTGAGTTGTTGATGCATTATTCCATGCCTTGGTTCCTGCAATTGATTCCTGAGCCTTAACACTGTCTCTGGAGATGGACAAAAGTCAGACCTACATCTTTTCAGGAAACGTTCCTTTAGTTTCAGTTCAGGAGAAACAAACAAACAAACAAACCAACCAACCAACCAAAAGAATACTCCCCATCCCCTCCCCCACAAACCTTCATCATGAGTCCCAAACCAAATTTGTGCAGGAACCAGACACACCTTTGCAATTACCATTGCAGGTGCCTACTGGAATTAATATTTTTGTACCTTTCTGTGCTCCCAGTGTCCACGGGTTCAGTGAATATTAAAGGTCAGTCATATGAGGAGCAGCTGAGGGAGCTGGGGGTGTTTAGCCTGGAGAAAAGGAGGCTCATGGGTGACCTTGTCATTCTCTACAACTGAACCTCAAAGGAGGTTGTAGCCAAGGGGCAGTCGGCCTCTTCTCCCAAGCAACTGGTGACAGGACAAGAGGACATAGTCTTAAACCGTGCCAGAGGAGGTTCAGGTTGGACATCAGGAAGAATTTCTTCATGGAAAGGGTTGCCAAGCATTGGGATGAACTGCTCAAGGAAGTGGTGGAGTTACCATCCGAGGAGATGTTCAATCTGTGGAGGACTGGATGTGGCACTTGGTGCTGTGGTCTAGTTGAGAAGGTGGTGATCAGTCACAGGTTAGACTTAAGGATCTTGGAGGTCTTTTCCAGCCTAAATGGTTCTGTGATTCCACTCTTCTCTCTCTGCTGTTTACAGTAGTTCCCCCTCACCCTGCCAGACTTTGCATTTCTCTGCCTCCCATCCACTTTAAAGATGCATTAAGAAAGTTTAAGTTCCTTGTGCTGTCTGCAGTAGATGAGTTTCTATTCATTGCCTACTCCCAGCTTGAGACCAGTACCTTCAGTACTAACATACAAGTTTTTTAGCTCAGTTTTTCATCTGTCTGCATTTATACCACTTCCCTCTCATTGAACCACTCCACAATTGAACACTCTGGTATTACATAACTTCTGCAAATAGCAAGGTATTTCTGTGAAAGTGCATTGTGAAATAAATTGTATTGCATTGTAGCGGAGACATAATATGACATTCTCTGGAGGAAACAATTATTTGCTCAATAATGTCCATCACATTCAGCTCTTCAGCTTATGGGACATTCTTGTAAGGTCAGAAGGGTATGTTTCTTGGTAAAATGATTGTGTTCTAACTTAGAATATGCTCTTTCACTAAACACGAAAACTACATAAAACTACAGAAAAGCAGTCTTATCATGCCCATAATAGAAGCGGACTTTTCTCATTTAATTTATTTTGAGAAAATACATTTCCTGCTTATTTTCAAAATTGTTATTTCTAGATGTGGATGTCCACATAAATTAGGTTTCTCCCTGTCTGAATCACAGATGCAACACAGTATTAGGAGACCACAAATTGCAGAAGTTATATTGTGGAAGAGTATCTGTGACAGTCCATTCTTTAAAATTTTTCTTAAATTCTTTGTTTCAGGTCTTCTGTGCATTTACTTGTAAATAAAAATCTGCTATTATTTTATGGAGCCAGTTTCAGCCTTCTTTTTTCTCCAAACAACAAGTGTCATCAAATTGACAAGATTTAAATGGCACGCAGCGAGAGTTTTGTGTTGCCCTGATAAGTTTTGTCAGCTGATCTCATTCAAAAAAACCCCAAAAAACAAAAAACAAACCAAACTTGAGAATATTAGAAGTTGGTCAGTAAAAGGCTCCTTAGTTGTGGCCTCTTTATTAATAGCCTTGAACTTTTCCTGAGCATTAGCTTTGATCGCTAACTGTGTGTAATCACCTACTGGCAGGGGGCACAGTAGGCTCTCGTCTTTGGGTAATGCAACCTTACTGATGTGCCAGGTCAGCCAATAAATAAAAGTAAATTGAAACTGGATTGTGGCCTTCTATCAAAATGCACAGTTGTGTTTAGACTTTCAAGGACAAGGTACATTACATGTAATCAAAAGAATCTGAAAGCACCAAAGGAGTGCTTACCGTCCAGGTGAGCCTTAGGAGTTTCCAGCCTTAGCACTCATTTAAACAGGATTGATGGGATGTTACTGAAGGCAGATGAGAGAAGCTGTGCTGGAAACCCTTACAAAACAACTTGTAAAACTTTGTGCCTCCTTAGCAATGTGTGAAGTATTAAATACTTTTGCAGCACAAATGTTGTGCTTGTTTGCTCAGCTTAAATAACAGAAGAGTACAAACATGAGACAACAAAAATGTCTGTGAGTGGCTTTACAGATTTTTTTTTAATAAATTCTAAAGTCTCTATTAAGCAACTCTTATTTCCAAGGCAAGAATAGTCCTTAGGAACTTAACTTTGACATGTACTTATGTACATAACATCTTCTGTGTAGAACTGAATAGGCTTTTTTTTTCTTTTCTCCCTTCTTTTAATTAATTTGTTAATCCAAAATGGGTCTTAATTAAATCTGGTTGTGAGTAATCTTAGGCACCCTTGCTCCTGCTTCTGTAGGATGGATTTAGGTAAGATCGATGGATTCAGCTTGTGACTTCTCTTCTGTCAGAAGTGGAGATAAAATTAGGTATAAAAATATTTCCCTCTCAGTAAAGTAGTGGCAATCTAACAGGATCTGCTTGGAGCTTTCCTTTGGCAGGGTCAGTTAGATGTTTTAAGAGTCTGTCAGATGATCCCTGATTAACGGACACAAAAAAGATCAATACCTACGTTAAGTAAATGATAGTTGGCAAGTAGATGGGAAAATATCCAAAGTTTAATGTAATTGACCCATATAACATACAAATGGGGAAAAAAACCCTCAAACCTGTGAGCAAGGAGTAGCTTGCTGTGGGCCATACTCAAATACTCTTCCTGCTTACCTGTCTCATCTTTCCTGATGAATCATCCTACTGTGGGCTGTGGAAGCCCCTCCTCAGCACAGAGTGCT